CCCCCCCCAGACGCACCTCCTCCGGCCACCATGTAGGGCAGAGCACCCCAGAACCCGGAGCCGCTGTCCTTTGACCTGGCCTCTGACTTGTCTGGGCGTTTACTTTGGCCTGTTGGGAGAGCGGACAAAGAGGAGTGGAGTGGGGAGGAGGGCCCCCTACTCTGTGCCCGGCGCTGAGACCGCTCCCGGAGCTGGGAGGCGCCACCCTCCCATAGTGGAGAGCCAAAGAGAAGGGGAGGGATTTTACTTAAAGCGCCGTGCCTGGTACATAGCTGGCATTGCCCAAGGTCACACAGCAATAATAATAGCAAAAATGGCTCTCCCATGTAGTGAGCAATTACCAGTACTCAGCACATTATGGCACAAGGTCACTTATACCCATAACAACTCCATGAGGTAAGTAGCATTGTTATCAATCCTTATAATCGATAACGAAGCTGAGCTCATAGAGGTTAAGTAATATCCCCAATTTCTCCATTTCGGAAGAATGGAGAACTTGACAAGGGTAGGGATTTGAACCTGGGACGCGGGCTACAGCAACGCTGCTCTGTCCGTCGTAACAGCTTCTCGCGTTCAGACGCAAGCCAGGGATCCTGAAACTGTCCTCAAGCCTCCCTCCCTTCTTTATCCCAGAAAGACTCACTCCTCCCGCCGTCCCCCACCGTCCCGCCGCCAAGTAAGGATTCTTACCTGCCTCCACTCCGCCGCAGGTGAAGAGTAGCAGGTAGCAAAGAAAGAGCGATACCACCTTCTGCCGCATGGTGGCGCCGCGCACCGGCTTTGCTGCAGGCCCTGGGAATGCGGCAGAGAGGGAGGAGGACCTTCCCCCAAGGCGGGGGTTTTGTGATTCTTGACAGCAACAATGGCAGTAATGTTCCTGCCTCACGGAGTGGTTATGAGAATTTAATGAGGGAATCTTCTGGTACGGTGACTGCACATGGTGAGCCCTCGTAGAAGAGGCTATTATTATGTCTGTTCTTCGTTTTGTCATCACTTGGGCAGGGTACTAGGGTACGTCCCCTCTCTGGGCCTGTTTACTTATCCTTCAAATGGGGGTATTAATCGAGCTTCTTTCAGAGAGTGGTTGTAATTTAGAAACTGTTCACCATATATCCCTAACACTTAGAACAGTGCCTGGCACATAAAAAAAAGAAAAAAAAACAACCCAAACTCATTGCCGTCTAGTGGATTCGAACTCATAGGGCAGAGTAGAACTGTCCCATAGAGTTTCCAGGGCTGTAGTCTTAACGGAAGCTGACTGCCACATCTTTCTCCCGCGCAGCAGCTGGTGGGTTCCAAACGCCCACCTTTCAGTTAGCAGCAAAGTGTTTAACCACTGCGCCACTAGGGCTCCTTACCTGGCACATAGAAAGTGCTAAAAAAATGGTTGTTGATAAACTTATTTTTACAATGCGTTAAGTACCTAGAGGTATCAAACACTGACCTCACATCAACTTCATTTTTCAGATGAAGAAAGAAAAACACAGCAGTAAAGGAGCTTGCCCAAGGTCACACAGCAATAATAATAGCAAAAATGGCTCTCCCATGTAGTGAGCAATTACCAGTACTCAGCACTTTATGGCACAAGGTCACTTATACCCATAACAACTCCATGAGGTAGGTAGCATTGTTATCAATCCTTATAATCGATACGAAGCTGAGCTCATAGAGGTTAAGTAATATCCCCAAGACTGCTCGGCCCACACTTGTAACAATCACTCCAGATAGCTCCATCTAGCCTCACTGTCACATTCTCTCCGACAATAACAGGGCTTCAGAAATTGTCCAGTCCTTTGGGCAGGTAAGGTAGTTTGATCTCCATTTTACAGATGAGGTAACTAAGGTCCAAAGAGGTGAAGTGACAGGATTGAGACCACAGAGAGCTGACCTGGCACCAATAAGCTAGGTCTCATGCATTTTGGAGTATTACATCCCACTCCCCTAAAAGCCCCAACCCATCCCCTCAGACCAGTCCCGGCTGAGTGCACTAAAAGGGACCCAGGAGGCAGCCTGGCAGAGGGTAGCAGCTTGGCACTCCCACCCCGTAGCTCCTGGGTTTACCTTGGAGGAAGGAGAAGAAAGAATCTTTCTGCCCGGGACCTACTGATGGATGAAGCAGAGGCAAGGAAACAGCGCTCAGGCTGAAGGCTGGCTTTTTATAATCTATTTGGGTATGCTCCACCCCGCCCCAGGCGGCCAATCGCTGTCAGAGTTTCCATTTATTGCAGTCTGCACAGTTTCCTTTTCCCCGTCTTCTCCAGCTCTTGCGCAGTGGTAGCGTCTGCGTGTTGCCTGCTGGAAGAAAGAGGTAATTCAAGCCAGAGGGGAAAAGGGTGGGACTTTTCCCAAAGCAAGTCACGCTATGGTGGAGTCCATGGCCCTAGTCAGCTTAGTGAAGCCCAACCACCAGTTCCCCCAGGGCACGGAAGCCTTCCATGATTCAGTTCAATTAATAATAATATCTACTATTTATTGAGCACTTGCTGCATGCCAGGACTTGTGCAAAGTGCTCTATGTACATTATCTCTCTCCAATCCCACAGCAGCCTTGTGAAGTACCATTTACTGTTTATAATCCCCATTTTGCAGTTGAGGAGATTAAAGCTTTGGAAATGAAGTAATTCTATTCCATTGTTCCCCCAGTTGGCTGTTTGGGTACAGGCTTATGATAAGATTAGTGACGTCCATGCTCATGGGGCTATTGTCACACATCCTTTGCCGTAAAATGGATCCCCTGGCCCTAGATATGAGTCGGGATTGACTTGAGGGCAACCTTTTCTTGTTTTCATTTTTGGGCCCTAGGTAGTGAACTGATCATTCTTTAAGCCTTTGGTTGGTGATGCTTGCAGAGGCACTATGGGTAAGAAATGCAACCTACATTCAGAGTGCACGGCAATTCCAGTAAGGATGACTTATTGCCCTGTCAAGTGGAAGGGGTCTGTTGCAATTAACCTGCCACCAGGTGGCTGACTTTCTCCCCAAGTAATGTTGCCATATCGCTGCCTACTGCTGGCAGGTTGGCTATTTGTTGGTAGTTGCTAGATCAGCCTTGTAGAGGGAGCCCAAGTTGTTGGACCTATTCATAGACTTCATCCTTGCCACAATGGCCACTCATTTATGGGTGAATTGCAAAGCAATGTTATTGTTGTTGTGTGCCATGGAGTCGATTCCAACTCACAGTGACCCTATAGGACAGAGTAGAACTGCCCCATAGGATTTCCTGTGTTGTAAATCTTTAGGGAGCAGATCACCAGGTGTTTTCTCCCACAGAGCAGCTGGTGGGTTCAAACTGTCGATTTTTCAGTTAGCAGCAGAAGGCTTAACCATTCTGCCACCAGGGCTCCTTTGCAAAGCAGTTGCTGTTGTTAGGTGCCGTGGAGCTGATTCCGGCTCATAGCTACCCAGTGTGCAACAGAACGAAACACTGCCTGGTCTGTGCCATCCTCATGATAGTTGTTATGCTTGAGCCCATTGTTGCAGCCACTGTGTCAATCCATCTTGTTGAGGGTCTTCCTCTTTTTTGCTAACCCTCTACTTTACCAAGCATGATATATTTTTCCAGGGACTGATTCTGATAATATATATATGTCCGATGTATGTGAGACGAAATCGAGCCATCCTTGCTTCTAAGGAGCATTCTGGCTGCACTTCCTCCAAGACAGACCTGGTCATTCTTTTGGCAGTCCATGGTGTATTCAATATTCTTCACCAACACCATAATTCAAAGACATCAGTTCTTCTTTGGTCTTCCTTATTCATTGCCCAGCTTTTGTGTGCATATGAGGCCATTGAAAACACCATGGCTTGGGTCAGGTGCACCTTAGTCCTTAAGATGACATCTTTGCTTTTTAACTCTTCAAAGAGGTCTTTTGCAGCAGATTTGCACAGTGCAATACATAGTGTGATTTCTTGACTGCCTCTTCCGTGGGTGTTGATTATGGATCCAAGTAAAATGAAATCCTTGACAACTTCAATCTTTTCTCCATTTATCATGATATTGCTTATTAGTTCAATTGCGAGGATTTTTGTTTTCTTTATGTTGAGGTGTAATCCATACTGAAGGATGTGGTCTTTGATCTTCATCAGTAAGTGCGGCAAGTCCTCTTCACTTTCAGCAAGCAAGGTTGGCTCAATTTAGAGGCTGGCCAACATCCACAGGATGGGACATCCTGACTATCTGCTTGTAGAGCCTCCTTTACAGTGGATGGTCTCCAGTGAGCATTAATGTGAGGCACAAAGATTGGCATGCTTTGTGCCCACTCCTATACCCATTGCCACTGAAGCAATTCTGACTCATAGCGACACTATAGGAAGAGTAGAACTGCCCCATAGGGTTTCCAGGGCTGTAGTCCTTATGGAAGCAGACTGTCACATCTTTCTCCCACAGAGCAGCCGGTGGATGTGAACCACCGACCTTTCGGTTAGCAGCCGTGCATTTTACTACTGTCCCGTCAGGGCTCTCTCCCACTCCTATAGGTCCACAGATATGTCTCTTCCCCAGATCTGCTTATCCTTGAGCTTCCAATTTTGTTCTTTCCATCCTCTTGACCAACTAGGCAAACCATTTGCCACTTACTAAGAATCAGTGTATCTCCGTACCTCCAGTCCTTTGCTTCCTCCATACAAATGGGATGACAAAGTATACTGCTCAGAGTTTTGCCCCTGGGATCATCCCTGTCCTTCAGGGCTACTCCCAACTGGGGCTGTAATAGAGTGGTCCATTTCTAGCTGGCACCAAAATATCATACTGAACTATCTGTGAGTAGGGTCTGACTCTTTTCCTCCTTTATCAGTTGTTTGCAGGGAACCCTTCATGAGGCCGTAGGTGTGAGTCAAAGGAGAGGTGTCAGATCAACCGAGTAGATGCCATGGGAGTCTGGCTGCCTGTTCATATAATTGACTCATGGCTTCTGGAGCCATTTGACTTCAGCCCTGAATGTACCACTTCTATCATAGATTGGATTGCTACTGTGCCTGTCTGCTAATATCCAGCTTAAGACATATAGCCACTTCACCTCCAGTGGTCAGATGCTTAGTCACTACTCGTGCCCAGTGACACATCAGCACCTTTTCTTCAAATGGACCATGGTGAGCATGGCCTTACTCAAAAATCCTAGTGGTCCTCATTGTAACTCTCTCATTTCGGCTTTCAGAGACTCACTACAGCATCTTTACCTACCAGAGATACCTCCAGCAACATTGCACCTGCTATGTCATTTAATCCAAAGTGGCAGCGTAGCTTGTTTTGTGGCCTAAACCTCCTGGATAGCCCTCTCTTGCTCTGGACCCTACTCACAATTGGCAACTGTCCAGACCACCCAATAAAGGGTTGGAGACGTATTTCCAAGTGTGTGTATTCTGTCTCCAAAATCCAAAAAAGTCCACCAAGTGCTGTGTCTCTTTCTAAGTGATAGGATATGTGAGGTGAGAACTTGTCCGAGGATGCCCCAAACCACTGAACTCCTAAAAATGTTACCAAGGTGGCAGGACCCTGAATCCTTATGTAATTTGTCATCAGTTCTCTGGCAAACATGGTGCTTATCACTTCCTGCTGTTGTTACTGTTTGCCTTTGAGTGGATTTTAACTCATAGTGACCCTATGTGACAGAGTATAACTGCATCATAGGGTTTCCTAGGCTGTAATCTTTTTTTTTTTTTTTTAAATCTCTTCCTCCAAATTCTATTTTATTTTATTTAAAATTTTTTTTATTGTACTTTAGATGAAGGTTTACAGAGAAAACTAGTTTCTCATTGAAAATTAATACACATATTGTTTTGTGACGTTGATTGCCAACCCCACGACATACCAACATTCTCCCCTTCTCGACCTTAGGTTCCCCATTACCAGCTTTGCTGTCCCCTCCTGGCTTCTCATCCTTGCCCCTGGGCTGGTGTGCCTATTTTGTCTTGTTTTGTTTTATGGGCCTGTCTAATCTTTGGCTAAAGGGTGAACCTCAGGAGTGACTTCATTACTGAGCTATAAGGATGTCTGGGGGCCATACTTTCGAGATTTCTCCAGTCTCTGTCAGACCAGTAGGACTGGTCTTTTTTTTTTTTTAATGTAAGTTAGTATTTTGTTCTACATTTTTCTCCAGCTCTTTCCAGGACGGTCTATTGTGAGCCCTGTCAGAGCAGTCAGTGGTGGTTCCTAGGCTGTAATCTTTATGGGAGCAGATTGCCAAATCTTTTCTCCTGCAGAGCCTCTGGATTGATTTCAACCACCAACCTTTCAGTTAGCAGCTGAGCACTTAACCATTGTGCCACCAGGACTCCTTTATCACTTCTGTTCATGTCCAATTAGTATGATGTCATCAATATAATGGATCAGCATAATGTTCAGCGGAATGTCAAGGTGATCAAGTCCCTGAAGACTACAACAGAGAGCTGGAATGCTAACAAATCCCTAAGGAGAGAAAGTGAAAGGGCTAAAAGCAAACTGTCTTCGATCATCTCATCTAATAGGTATTGAAAAGAAAACGTTTGTCACATCAATAGCCATACACCAAGTGCTACAGGCTGTGCGGATATGCTCCAGTAAAGATACCCCATCCAGTAGAGTAGCTCTGCTTGGGGCTATCATCTGGCTAAGTTTACAGTAGTTCATCCATCATCCACCACAATGCATCTGTTTTCCCAGAGGCCAGGTAGGTGAATTGAATGGGCATATGACGAGGAACACACTTGGGCCAAAATATTAAATCAGAAAGAATACTACAGAAATAAACTGCAGGGCAGTGTTAAGAATTTCCATTTGACTCTTCCTGTCATAGTAGCCTTTGCTCCACAGGTCATGGAACCAATGGGAGGATTCTGTTAGCTTCTGTGGGACTTGTTGGACTTGGACCAAACTCCATTTATCAGCTGGCCTCCTTTAGCCCCTCCTCTAATCAGAAAACTATGACGGTGTTTTTTGTCTCCTGATTTCCATGTCAGTTCAGACTCTATATCTTTTAACAGTCTTTGAAAATTCTGAATGTTCTCCAGTTTTGAGTGTATAGTTACCCTCGCAAATGGCGGCAGATCCCTTTGGGAAAGGATTGGAGGAATATTTACTATACACATTAGTGGGCTTATCACAGAATCTTTCATCACAGAACTCCTGTAAACTTAATAGGACATGGCCTCCCGT